ACAGATTTTTCGGTTTTATTGATCTTTTCAAAGAATCAGCTTTTAGTTTTGTTGATTTTTCTGTTAGTTTCTATTTTCAATTTCATTGAATTCTGTTCTAATTTTTATTATTTGTTTTTCTGCTTACTTGTCATTTAATTTTCTCTTTCTCCAGTTCCTAAAGTGAATAGTTGTTATAATTTCTCTTTAAGGAATAGCTTTGCTTTATCCCACATATTTTAGTTAAGTTGTGTTCATTTTAATTTATTTCAAAATATTTTAAAATTTGTTTTTAGTCTTTTTCTTTAACCCATGTGTCATTAAAAAGTTTTTTTTTTATTTTTTAAATTCCAAGTATTTTTCTGCTTTCTTCCTATTACTGATTTTAGTTCAATTTCATTGTGGTCTGATAGCATACTCTGTATAAATTTGTTTTCTTTTAAAATTTTTAGGTAAATTTTATAGCCCTTAGTGTGCTCTGTGTTGGTGAAGGGTTCATGTGAATTTAAGAATAATATGTACTTTAAGAACACATATCTATTGTTGGAAGAATTACTACATAGAATCATATATGGAAATCATTTCTATGTGTCTATGTAGTTCTTTCACTTTTTCCCTGATGTATTTTGGCAGCCTTTTATAAGGAGTGAACACATTAAAGGTTCTTTCTTTTTGGAGAATGGACCGCTTTATCATTAGTTAATGCCCTTCTTCATTTCTGATAACTTTCCTTGCTCTTAAGTCTGCTCTGTCTGAAAATAATGTAGTTACTCCTGTTTTCTTTTGATTAGTGATAGTATGGTATAGCTTTCTCCACTTTTAATCTCTCTGTGTTTAATGTGATTGTTTTGTGAGCCATATATAGTTGTGTCTTACTTTTTTATCCACTTTACCAGTCTGTGTGTTTTAATTCGTATATTTAGACCATTGGCATTCAAGGTGATTATCGATACAGTTAGATTAATATCTACCATATTTGTTAATGCTTTCTATTTGTTATCTTTTTTAATTACCCTTCCACTCTTTTTCTGCCTTCTCTGGTCTTAGTTACGCTTTTTATATGATTCCTTTTTTTTCTCCTTTCTTAGCCTATCAATGATGCTTTTTAAAATTACCTTTAGTTGGTTGTCCTTATGTTCACAATATACATTTATAGCTTGTCCAAGCCTGGTTTTTGTTTTCTTCAAGGTGAATTTTAGGAATATTTTGTCAAGTTGAATGTCCCTTCAGCAAAAGAAAGCAAATGTCATTTTTTAAAATTGAAATAGCATTAAAATGCAAATTTGTAATTTGGTATTTCATAAGAATTTGTATAATTCTTTTTAAAGTTTATTCCCAGTCATTTGTAGTATAGTATTTTTCTGCTGTGCAGTCATTTAAATTTTATTTCTAATTGTTGTTGGCATATATGAAATCTTTTGCTTTTTATATATGATTTTCTCTTATTTACCTACTGTCTTTTTATTCTTTTGGATTTTTAGGAGGACAGTCATTATATCAACCAATAGTTGTATTTTTATCCCTTTTAGTATTTATATTTTGTCTTTATTTTACTTGCCCTGCACACGATACTTGCTTTGGATCTTACTAGTTTTAGTTGATTATGGTATATACATAAACAAGTTCATTGGACACAAAAACAAAAACAAACCAGTACAACAGCTGCTCCTTAAAAGGCAACCTTCTTGAAAACTTCCTCTGTAATCTCTGCTCTAATTCTTTCCCTCCTACTCATAGCCTGAACCTGCAATTTGACTTCTGACCCTATTTCTTTACTAGGACCTTTTAGAACATTAATAATATTAAGTGCTACCATATCAAACAATTGCTTTTCAGTTTCCACCTTATTTAACCCTGCTTCAGTATTTTCTTAAGGCGGGGGAAACGTCTTTTATTCCAAAGCATTTTGTTTAATTTTTTAAGTATATTGTATTGATTATGCTATTATAGTTGTCTCATTTTTTTCTCTCTTTTATTCCCCTTTCCCCTGTACCCCACCGCTCCCACCAGCATTCCCTCCCTTAATTCATGTCCATGGGTCATACATACAAGTTCTTTGGCTTCTACATTTCCTATACTATTCTTAACCTCCCCTTATTTGGTACCTACCAGTTATGCTTCTTATTCTCTCTACCTTTTCCCCCGTACTCTCTCCTGCCTACATCTCTGCTGATGATGCTCCATGTGATCTCCATTTCTGTGATTCTGTACCTGTTCTAATTGTTTGCTTAATTTCTTCTGGTTTCTGGTTTGTTTGGGTTTTTATTTTTTTAGATTCATTTGTTGATAGTTGTGAGTTTGTTGTCATTTTACTGTTCATAGTTTTGATCATCTTCTTTTTCTTAGATAAGTCCCTTTAACATTTCATATAATAAAGGCTTGGTGATGATGAACTTTAACTTGACCTTATCTGGGGAGCATTTTATCTGCCCTTCCATTCTAAATGAAAGCTTTGCTGAATAGAGTAGTCTTGGATATAGGTCCTTGCCTTTCATGACTTCAAATACTTCTTTCCAGCCCCTTCTTGCCTGTAGGGTTTCTTTTGAGAAATCAGCTGATAGTCTTATAGGAACTCTTTTGTAGGTAACTGTCTCCTTTCCTCTTGCCATTTTTAGGATTCTCTCCTTACCTTTATCTTGGGTAGTGTAATTTTGATGTGCTTTGGTGTGTGCTTCCTTGGGTCCAACTTCTAAGGGACTCTCTGTGTTTCCTGGACTTACTGAGAGTCTTATTTCCTTTGCCAGACTGGGGAAGTTTTCCTTCATTATTTTTTCAAATAAGTTTTCAATTTCTTGTACTTTCTCTTCTTCTGGCACCCCTGGTTAAGATGTTGAAACATTTAAAGTTGTCCAGAGGTTAAGCCTCCCCTCATGTTTTTGAATTCTTGTTCTTCATTCTCTTCCAGTTGAATATTTATTTCTTCCTTCTGTTCCAAATCAGATTTGAGTCCCAGTTTCCTTCCCTTCACTGTTGGTTCCGTATTTTTCTTTATTCCACTTTGCATAGCCTTCTCATTTTCCTCCATTTTATGACCATACTCAACCAATTCTGTGAGCATCCTCACTACCAGTGTTTTGAACTCTGCATCTGTAGATTGGCTGTCTCTTCATCACTTAGTTCTGTTTTTGGAGTTTTGATGTGTTCTTTCATTTGGGCCATGTTTCTTTGTCTCGGTGCACCTGTTATATTGTAAGCGGGGGAGCCTTAGGTATTTGTAATGGTGGAGCAACCCACTTCACTGTGTTGTGGGGCTGTATGTGTGGGAGGGGTCAGAGAGGAACAGTGCTGCTTGCTGGGCTCTGGGTCAGCTTTCATTCACTTCCCCTGCCATGCACAAGCAAATCTGGTCCTATTTCCCAGGTGGATGGGTTTGCATACACCTAGCACCCTGTGGGTCTCTCCACAGGGTGGAGAACTCTCCTGTGAACTCTCCTTGTGAACTCTCCTGTGAGGCTGGGAGTCTCTCCCACCACTGCAACCCCCACAGATTTTTATAGCCAGCAGTTTGGCGGTTTTCTTTTCCTGTGTTGGAACCCAGGGGTGCAAGGTCTGTCTCTCTCCCCAGTTGTTCCTTCCTATTTACCCACAGGGAAGTGTGGGACCTCCAGCCTTCTCCTTACCCCACCTGGTTATCCAGCCGCTCCATGGCTGCTCATCCTTTCCACCATCAGCTGCCCACCTCCACCGCTCCTACCTGTCCAGATCAATGTTTCCTTAACTCCTTGGTTGTCAGACTTCTATACAGTTTAATTTTCTGGCAGTTCTGGTTGATTTTTGTTTTTAAATTTGTTATTGTTCTTTTGGTTGTGCAAGGAGGCAAAGTGTATCCCTACCTACGCATCCATCTTGGCCAGAAGTCTCATGCTCCAGTATTTGATAACACTGATCTATCCTCAGTTCAGGGAACCTACCCCTTCGGATTACTTTTACTCCCTCATTCAGGCTTTTCATACACTACCCATACCTTAACTGTGAGGAAAGTTTTGGTATCCACATAGCACTAAATATTTGGAGCACCAATTTTAGGTATTTTTTAAAGTGTCACTATAAAAGAGTAAAAATATACCCAAAAAAACCACAAAGAAATATTTTGATTTTATCTTTAACTAACTCTAGGACAGTTAGTAATAATGAATGCTTTCATTTTGTGTGCAACACCTGGCCTTTTACTAATAAGCATATCATTAGTTATTTGTTTCAGAGGAGTATTAATATAAACTTTTAAGATTACTACAAGATCTTTTTTTTAGTTGGAAACTGGTTGTGAACTATCTACAGGTGCCTATTTTTTGGCATATACTTTTTTCCTCTGCCAAATAGATGTATTTTATTAGCTTTTTCATTCTGAATTGCCAAAATAAATGCTCTTTGATTGGTATATTTTTTGATACAGCTTTGGATTTAGTTTGTGCAAGTATCTTTTAGGATTTTTGAATTTCCTCCCATAAGTACAGTTGTGTATGTGCTACCTTATGTTAGGTTTTGGTAGCAGGATTAAGTTGGTTTCATAACAAAGCTGTAATTTGTATGCTTTAAATGCTCTGCAGCTGTATAGACAGAATTAAAATATATGTTGAGGACTTAAAGGAAGTTGTCTAAAGGTCAGCTGAGCTCATTTTTTTAATTAAAAACAATTCTTTTGCCACATTTATATTTTATCTAATGAGCTATACTAATTTTATGTGGCTTCTGCTCAGAGACAGTTGGTTTATGTTAAACAGCTAGGAGTTTATTTTACATTCATTATACCTAGAAGCTGCAATGTGAAAATCAATAGGGTTGATTTTGTATCATAAGAGTTTCATTTATGAGATGCAAACTGGGTTAGATCCTTGGGATGTATTTATGATATTAAGTTCAGAGAGAAAGATGAACATTATTAAAGTGACAAAGTAGTATTTCTTTACAAGGATTAAGAAAAGTTGTAAGAATAAAAATCTTTAATATTTTAATTATTTTTGTTCTTTTATTCTTTTAATATCTTTTTAATATCTTTTTATTTTAATATCTTTTGTTCTTAGGTGCATTTTATCTGGTGTTTGAATATATGGACCATGACCTGATGGGACTACTGGAATCAGGCTTGGTTCATTTTAATGAAAATCACATCAAGTCATTTATGAGACAGCTCATGGAAGGTCTGGATTATTGTCATAAGAAGAACTTTTTGCATAGAGATATTAAATGTTCAAATATTCTTCTAAATAATAGGTATGAGATGAGTTTAATATATATATGTTTCGAGTACATTTTATATAATGTATACCTTGATTTTGTTAAAAGGATTCATAATTCACATTACAGTTGACCCTTGAACAACTTGGGATCTAGGAGTGGCAAATCCACCCCTACCCCCCCCCCCACACACACACACACAGGTGAAAATCTGCATATAACTTTTAACTCTCCAAATACTTTACTAATAGCCTCCTGTTGACCAGAATCCTTACTGGTAACGTAAATAGTTGATTAACACATATATCTTATGTTATATATATTATATATTATGTTTTTTAGAATAAAGTAAGCTAGACAAAAGAAGTGTTATTAAATAGATTGTAAAGAATAGAAAATACACTTATAGTGTTTATTGGAAAAAATACTGAATATAAGTGGACCTGTGCAGTTGAAACCTCTGTTGTTCAAGGGCCAACTCTATTTCATTGCAGAAACTGTTGTAACAGAATCAACATTTTAGCTTGTGGTGTTTCTGAATTTGTGTTAAATATACTATAGTTAGCTACCAATAATAGTTTATAATGTACATAAAATAATACTTAGCTGACTTTCTTGTTTATCGTTTACATAATGTGAATGGATCTTCTAGTAATTGATAAAATGATTTTATTTGATGTAAGACTAGACTTCAGAATTTTTTTAAATTACCGTTTTTAAAACAGTCATCACAGGTTTAAAGTGGACTTTTTAAAAGTGTATACCTACACGCACACACACACACATACACACAGCTTATGTTGAGCCCTGACTGACATGACTCAATGGGTTGGGCACTGTCCTGCAAACCAAAAGGTCACCAGTTTGATTCCCAGTCAGGGCCTATGCCTGGATTGTGGGCCAGGTCCCTGTTTGGGGTTGTGCGAGAGGCAACCTATCAATGTTTCTCTCCCTCTCTTTTTCCCTCCCTTCCCCTCTCTCTAAAAATCAAGAAATAAATAAATAAATAAAATCTTTTAGAAAGTGTTGAATATTTTACTGGCAGCATAAACTGAACAATGATAATCCTGTTGTAATTGGAATTATTTGTTAGTTTAACTGAAACATGCCTGGTCCTGACTTTGGTTAGTATAAAGTGTTGCATGCATCTAGCCCCTCTAAGAAAGGGAATATTAAACATAACTTTAAAATAATGTGATTTATTTCTTGAACATTATTGACTTGAACAAGTAGGTTATCTTATATAAGTAGTAGAAATTATCTCATTTTGTTTTGAAGTGTACTTTTCTAAATAGGAACTAAATAGTACTGAAATATGGTTTTACTAGTACTAATAAAAATGGCATCAGTATTATAGTAGCTAAAATTCTCCAAAGAAAAGGACTAAGTTTTTTACCTTATCTTATCCTGAGTTTATTTACTTGTCTTTACCTATAAGACCTTGGGTACAGCAGTGTGGTCAAAGATAAAGTTTCTATAAGTAAATTTTTGATTAGTTCTAGGAATAGAATATGAATGTGTATGACCAATTCAAAGTAGACTAATAACCTTTGTTCATTTTGTTTTACCAGAGGGCAGATAAAACTTGCAGATTTTGGACTTGCTCGATTGTATAGCTCAGAAGAAAGGTAAGAGTACTTTCCAATGAAAATTATAGACACTTCAAACCAGTTTCAGAAGCTACAGTAAGAATACCTTATTGATAGTTTATTTTTTATGAAAAGGGAAATTAATTTTTCATGGTTAAATACACAGGATAATAATGTTTTACACTGTACCTGGGTAGACTATTTTAATTACAAAATTTTCATTTATTTTAATTTAAAAATAACTATGTTTTTAATACTTAGTAAATACAGTTTCTTTTAAAATGTGCCATTTTAAATGTAACTTAAATGAACTTAGGAATTATTTTAGAAATTTATACTTGTTTCTAACTCAGATTGAGGCATTAAGACATTTGTAATTTTTGTATTTAGTGAAAAACCTTGGTATATGCTTTTTATATTACATATTTAACTTATAAACATTGTTTTAATTATTTTGAACTTCCTTTTTAAAAATTATAATTATATTTGGTTGTTTTAAACTCTCTGGAACCTTTTATTTAAACAAACTTATAATGAAGTTAGTTCAGTGTATAACTTCTCTGTGTGGAGTTACTCTGGTTAAAGTTGGCATGTGTATCCCTCTTTGGTACTTTTGTGCCTGGTGGTAGTGAAATATGACTTATTAGTACTAATATGGAATTTAGAAATATATTTGTGAAATAGTGGATTTTATGTAAATAAAGTGGAATTAACTGAGTTTAATAAAGCTCTAGGTTAACCCATTTCTTTCCTGTCAGTCAGCATTATTTCCTCTTTGAAAAAAAATTTTATTTATTTATTCTTAGAGAGGGCAAGTGAGGGAGGAAAAGAGGGAGAGAAACATCAGTGTGTGGTTGCCTCTCACATAACTCCAGCTGGAGATCTGGCATGAAACCCAGACGTGTGCCCTGACTGGAAATTGAACTGGTAACCCTGTGGTTCACAGGATGGCACTCAATCCACTGAGCCACACCAGCAAGGAAATATTTCTTTATTTCTAGATATACAGGGATGGGCAAAAGTAGGTTTACAGTTGTTCATATGGAAAATAATACAATAATTAATAAATAATAATATAAAAATAAACTTTCATGTACTTCCAATCTCATGTAAATCTACTTTATTTTTTAAAGTATATTTTATTGATTATGCTATTACAGTTGTCCCATTTTACCTCTTTATTCCCCTCCACCCTACACACTCCTTCCCACCAGCATTTCCCCCCTTAATTTATGTCCATGGGTCGTACATGTAAGTTCTTTGACTTCTCCATTTCCTATCTATTCTTAACCTCCCCCTGTCTATTTTCTACCTACCATTTATGCTTCTAATTCCCTGTACCTTTTCCCCGCATTCTTTCCCCTCCTCCTCCTTGCTGATAACCCTCCATGTGCTCTCCATTTCTGTGATTCTGTCCCTGTTGTAATTGTTTGCTTAATTTGTATTTGTTTTTGTTATTTTTAGGTTCATTTGTTGATAGTTGTGAGTTTGTTGTCATTTTACTGTTCATAGGTTTTTGATCATCTTTTTCTTAGGTAAATCCCAGTAACATTTCATATAATAAGGGCTTGATAATGATGAACTCCTTTAACTTTACCGTGTTTGGGAAGCACTTTATCTGCCCTTTCATTCTAAATGGCAGCTTTGCTGGAGAGAGTAATCTTGGATGTAGGTCCTTGCCTTTCATGACTTGGAATACTTCTTTCCAGCCCCTTCTTGCCTGCAAGGTTTCTTTGAGAAATCAGCTGACAGTCTTGTGGGAACTCCTCTGTAGGTAACTATCTTCTTTTCTTGCTGTTTTTAAGATTCTTTCCTGGACTTCCTGGAAGTCTGTTTCCTTTGACAGATTGGGGAAGTTCTCCTTCATTATTTTTCCATATAAGTTTTCAATTTCTTGGTCTTCCTCTTCTCCTTCTGGAACCCCTTTGATTCAGATGTTGTAGAGTTGAAAGTTGTCCCAAAGGTTCCTAAGCCTCTCCTCATGTTTTTGAATTCTTGTCTCTTTCAGTTGAATATTTATTTCTTCCTTCTGTTCCAAATCAGATTTGAGTCCCAGTTTCCTTCCCTTCACTGTTGGTTCCCTATTTTTCCTAATTTCACTTTGCATAGCCTTTACTTCTTCCTCTATTTTGCGACCATACTCAACCAATTCTGTGCACATCCTCACTACCAGTGTTTTGAACTCTACATCTGATAGATTGGCTATCTCTTCATCACTTCGTTCTATTTTTTGCAGTTTTGATCTGTTCTTTCATTTGTGCCATATTTCCTTGTCTTGGTGCACCTGTTATATTGTAAGCGGGGGGGTTGGAGCATTAGGTATTCACCAGGGCGGGGCAACCCACTTCACTGTGTTGTGGGGCTCTATGTGGGGGAGGGGTCAGAGAGGGAACAGTGCTGCTTGCTTGGCTCTTGGCCAGCTTTTAGTCACTTCCCCTGCTATCCAAAAGCAAATTGTGCCTTTCTGGTGCTGATTCTAGGGCTGGGTGGGATTCTGTAGGTTCTAGCACCCTGTAGGTACCTCCAGTGAACTCTCCTGTGAGGCTGGTAGTTTCTCCTGCCAGCACAACCCCCACAGATTTTTACAGCCAAAGGTTTTGAGGCTTTCTCTTCCATGCTGGAACCTTAGGTTGCACACACACTCTCTCCTCCTGGTTGAACCACACATAAATGTGGGACCACCTGGTTTGCCAGCTGGCCACCTTGCCTACCCCGGTTCACAAGCTATTGCCTCACCCACCTGGTCCTCCAGCCACTGCCTTGCCATGGGTCCCCTCCACCTTGATTGCCCATCTCCTCCCCTCCCACCAGTGTAAATGAACTTATCTTCTTTAACTCCTTGGTAGTTGGACTTCCATAGTTTCATTTTCCAGCAGTTCTGATTGTTTTTTGTTTAGAAATTTGTTGTTCTCCTTCTTTTGGCTGTGGGTGGTAGAAAAGTGTCTATAAATCTACTTTAAATCAAGCTCTAGTTTATCCAATTTCTTTCCTCTCAGCATTATTTCTTTTTTTTTTATAAAGAATGTCTTATCTTTTTTTTTTTAAGATTTTATTTATTTATTTTTAGAGAGGGAAGGGAGGGAGATAGACAGAGAGAGAGAGAAACATCAACGTGCGGTTGCTGGAGGTTGTGGCCTGCAACCCAGGCATGTACCCTGGCTGGGAATCAAACCTGGGACACTTTGGTTCCCAGCCCGCACTCAATCCACTGAGCTACGCCAGCCAGACCTCTCCGCATTATTTCTTTATTTTTAATATATATTCTGAGTTTCTTTGATATGGCAACTCTGTAATTTCTTTAGATTAACCATATTTAATATAAAGAAGTATTATTTAATTTACATTCTTTGAAATAGATATTTATTTTCACTGAATCTTTGCCAGTTTCAGGTTAGTTGAAAAAACCCTTTTTTGTTTGAATTTTTTAGAGTGAAAAAAATCTGTTTATTTTTTAATGTTGCAGTGCCTGTGCCATTCTAAAATTATTTTCATTTTTTTTTGTATTTGTAGCTTTTTAAATGGTATGTTTTAGATCCATTTGAGTTCCATGAAACCCTGCAGAAACTCTGGAGTGGATGGGTTGTTATGAATATAGCTACAGTCTCCTCAACCTGAATTAACCCGAGCTTTTTTGCTGTTGTTTTACCCACTACACTTCTAATTAATTATTTTAAGAAAGTATTCTATGGTTGGTTTTTAAATTTAAAATTGTTCTAAAGCTTAAAAGCTATAACCCTTATTTTGCACTTGAGAAAACTGAGATCCAGACAGGGTTGAGTGACTTTAAATATCAAAAAATGTTTGTCAGTGGAATCAAGATTTCCAACTCCAAATATGCTATTCTTTCTATAATATATAATAGTGCCCCCTGGTAGAACTGCAGGAAAAAAAAAATGAATTGTTCCAGGTGTGTACTTAATCCAACATTTCACTTGAAATATATCTTCCTGAGTGACTAAATTTCAGTGCCTATTCTTCAGGGGGAAATTTTACTTAATTAAGGATTCTATCTCCTTAGCTGGTTAATCGAGATTTCACTATAATTACATTATCTTTTCATTGTGCAATATGTGTCTGGCATACTTGAATATAAATCCACTTTTTTGTTTTTATGTTAGCTTTTAGTAGATGGAGAACAACTAAATTACCATTTTCCATCTCAGTTTCCTCCCTCCCTCCCCCCTCCCTTCTTTCCTTCCTTTTTTCCCTCCTTCCCTCCCTCCCTCCTTCCTTTCTTCCTTGAGAACATTTTTTCATTGCTTTTAGAGAGAGAGGAAATGAGAGAGAGAGAAGAAACATCAATTCAAGAGAGAGAGCATCAATTAGTTGCGCCTGCACCAAGGATCAAAGGCACCCTGACCAGGGATCTAACCCACAACTATTTGGTTATGGGGCAGTGCTCCAACCAGCTGAGCCATACAAGCCAGGGTTATCTCAGATTCTTTTCATGCAGATATTTGTTCACATTGAAATAGATATATTCCAGAAAAACGAACTGAAGAACCAAATTTTATCTTTCAAACCTTTTAAAATGGAATATTGGGTGTAAAATGAGTGTGGTATTTCACTGAGCCATGATCCTCATTGCCTTGCTGAATTGATATGGGAATTTTGAGCTCGGAGAAGTAAGAAACTAAAAATCTCATAACTTTGTATTTTTACATAATATATACTGAAATTTTCTGCTTAATAAAATTTGTAAGAAAAAAATTTGTTGTACCATTTTGTTTTATAAGTAAATATTCTATTGTGCAGGGGTTTATATAGTCTTCTAAGGCTTTTTTTTTCAGATTTGAATAATTTCAGTTTCTTTAAAGTCTGTTAGCGAACTAGGCTTATTTTAATGGAATGACTTTAAAATACATATATTGCTTGAGTAAAATTTAGTAGTATAACTGATTTTTAACATACTGAAACCCCCCTTTAACAGATTTTACTTACTCTGTTATCCCAAGTTTTCTAGATATTTCTTGAAATAAACATACAGCAAATAATTTTTCATTCATATTTCTTTGTTATTAAAAGCAGAAAGGTAGGGC